CAAAGAATTCCATCATGGATCTCCTCCTGTATACGATTGTGCTATGACATGGCCAATATAACTCCATTGAACAGGATGTTAGCAACTCTAACCAGAGCAAATGCAACTTCTGCAGCTTTTCTAGCTCAAGTACTTATTTTGGACATTTGTAGACCTGCAACTTGGTCTTCATTTTGCATACTGTTGTTTCTCATTATGCCATCTTTCAACAGTCTAGACATGATGCCAGATTTGGAATGTAGTCCTTTAATCATTCAGGTAGACTCTGATCCTACCTCCAGATTGAAGTGCTTGAGAGTCATCTGAAGTGGAATGGACATGGGCAATCACTTGCAGAAGAAAAACTGCTACTAACCTGTAATTATTATTCTTCGATTTGCATTGCACGTCTAATCCATGTCTCACCCTCCCTCCTCTGTATATTGGAGTCTGTCTAGTAAGGGGGAACAGAGAGGGGTCGAGGGTAGATCAGCCCTTTATACTATTATGCGACAGCAGAGGAGGCATGTGCCACCCCTATGAGTACCCCAAGGGAAAAATCTGATGCTAGTGAACTGGTGTGCACAGACCTAAAGTGGAATGGATACGTGCAACACATCTCAAAGAACAACGCTTAGCGCTCAGGGCCATTTGCTGGACTTGCGCAGCATTCCTTCCACTTCTGAAAAGGTTAACCATTCAGATTATGACAGACACCACCATGGAGATATTTTATATCAACAGGCAAGGGGAAGCAAGATCCACCCCCTTTGTCAAGAAGCTGTGCGTCTATAGAATTTCTGCATTTGACATTAAATTACCCTAAAAGCCCTTCACTTACAAGGCTTGCAGAATGTTCTGGAAAACCACCTGAGGAAGCAGTCTGGAAGTAACTGCATGTGATCAGTAAAAGATACCATCATACAGGATATCTTCACCAGATAGGGAGATCTGTTTGCAATGAAAGAGAACAAGAAATGTCTGAGATTCTGCTCCGGAGGAGTCAGGGCCAGGGTTCTCTGTCAGATGTTTTGCTGATCCCCAGGGCTCTAGACTAATATATGCGTACCCTCCAATCCCATTAGTTGGAAGAATCATCAGGAAATTCAGACAGGAATCAGCCCGATGATCATACTGGCACTGGTTTTGCTAAGGCAGGTCGGAGTCTCAGACTTGATGAATCTCTCCAATTAACCTCCAGTCCAACTACCTCTCCAGCCAGATGTAATCTCCCAGACAGAGGGGCAAATCCTCCATCTTGAGCCAACCTTTCTGAACCTCACTGCTTGGATGCTGGCTGGTCAACAGCAGTGGAAGGGAGCATCTCTTTATGGGTCCAGACTATACTTAACTACAGTAGAAAGGCAAATGGAAGAGATTTATTATCTGGGCCCAGCAACATCAATTATCTCCAACTGATACTCAGATACCTGCTATACTAGACTACCTCTTGTCCTGGAAGAATTCAAGACTGTCTGTGATCTCTTTAAGGGTACACTGACAGCCATTTCAATTCACCAGCCTTCTATTCCAAATCATTCAATATTCTGACACCTTACAGTAGCTAGAATCCTGAAAGGCGTTATGTGGGTGCATCTTCCAATGAGGGAGCCTCCCCCTTCCTGAGACCTCAACCTAGTGCTGACTGGGTTAATGGGTCCACATTTTGAGCTCCTCACAACACATTCCATTTTCCACCTATCTATCAAAATAGCCATCCTCATAGTGATACCATCTGCTAGAGGGGTGGGAGAGATACAAGCACTCATGGTGGGATCTCCATACACTGTATTTCAAGGACAGGGTGACTTTGAAGCCTCACCAAAAGTTTTTGCCAAGTTTCTGACTTCTATCTTAACCAAGTACAAGGTAAAGGGCAGGCTATATCAGTGAAGAGACTACCTAACTGGATTTTTACTTGTATTAAGTTATGCTATGAGATAGCTAGTTTAGAGCCACCATTGAGGATTAAATGCCTCTTTCCACAGTAGTTCAAGCAGCTTCTGCAGCTTCTTTGAGAAGTGTTCAAATCTTGGAAAATTTGTATGGCAGCAACATGGGTTCAGTACATATATTTACCCAGCACTTCGTTATAGTAGATATGTCAATGTTTAGGATATTTAAAATATTTATTTTTATATAATATTATTTATTTTTATATAATATTATTTACCTTACAGTAATTGTGATTCTTTGAGATGTGTTGTTCACATATATTTTATTCTTGGTGAACATGCACTTTAGTTTAGATTCTTTAGGCCAGTGGTGTCTATTGCGGCTGCATCCGCACCCCAAATGTCCTTGTGCCTCCCATCTGAGGGCATAAAGGATGGGGCGACCCAACCTCAGTCCTTTTGCCAATACTGAATCTAGGCGTTATAAGACTCCATAGTAGCAGGGGAAAAGGGCAAATAATGGAATATATATGGACAACATTGCTCATAGACCACAGTGGAATATTTAAAATATTCAAAATAAGAAATATTAAATTTCAATTTATTTAAGTCTTCAATAACTGACTGAGGTGACTTTATTTTTCCACCCCACACTCTTTACATCCACAGGACTTTTTCTAAGACTGCATCCTAGAATAGTGGTTCTCAATCAGGGTATGCAGAGGTCTTCCAGGGGTACACTCTCAACTCATCTAGATATTTGGCTAATTTTACAACAGGCTACAAAAAAAGTACTAGCAAAGTCAAATTCAAAATTGGTACAAATTAAAATTTCATACAGACAATGACTTGTTTATACTGCTCTATATACTGTACACTGAAATGTCAGTACAATATTTATATTCCAATTGATTTATTTTATAATTATATGATAAAGAAGAAAGGAAGCAATTTTTCAGTAAGTGTGCTGTGACACTTTCGTATTCTTATGTCTGATTTTGTAAGCAAATAGTTTTTAAGTGAGGTGAAACTTGGGGGTGTGCAAGAGAAATCAGATTCCTGAAAGGGGTACAATAGTTTGGAAAGATTGAGAGCCACTATGCTAGAACACTTCTTTTAACAAGATAATAATTAAATCAAGATGTTGGTGCTGTGTGTTTCTCAGATAAAGAAGAAAAAATATACTTATAGTTATGATATTTAGGCTTCCTATTGAACCATGGGACTTCAGGGTTTAACAATGTGTGTTACATTGTTGTTCAGCGGTTGATGTAATTTTTTTGCTGTCCTGCAGACTTTATATTTAATTGCAATAAGCTACTTCAGGTAGTGTGTTTTGCAGTACATTAGTACTTCTGTGTTAGCAAGATAAGTCCATTACAGAACTGAAGGATGCCAGTATTTGGCAGCACCTCAGAAATGATCTCATATGTCAAGCAGGATAAGGCCTTGTTTGCAGGAGGAATGGAAGCTTCCAAGGAAAACCTAAATGCTTCAAAATGCCAGTGTCCTAGCCAAATTCCAATATGAATAATTACCATACATCCTGCCTGTCTGGAGTGGGGCAGCTGCCCCACTCCAACAGAACAGGGGTTAAAAGCAGTCCTGGAGAGGGCTGCAGCTGGGAAAAGGAGTGAGAGCACCTCAGGGAGTAGCTGACCTCAGGTGTGGCCAGCTCAATCTGGGCCAAGCTGGCCCTGATAAGAAGGCTGGGGGCCAGGAGCTGGGGAGTCACACTCTAGCCCTGGAGTGGGAAGGGCTTGCTGCCTGAGAGGAAGGTACCTGAAACAGAGCAGTGTTGGGGAAGCGCAAGGGGAGCTCCAGCCTGGTAAACCCCTAGGCTGCAGGCCTTGGAGAAGGCCTACAAAGGTAGTAGGGCTACAGTGGCGCAGCCTGGGAATAGGCAGAGGCAGCTGGTTCTAACCCCTTGCCAATGATGAGACAGCAGTCTGCCCCAGGGAAAGGGGGCTAGATGATGACTGGCAGTAGCCACTGAGGCAAGGTGGGCCTAGAGGGTTGGATGTTCCCCTGGGATGGGAAACCCAGAGTAAGGGGGTACTGCTGGGGGCAGAACCCCGAGGTAAAGGGGCACCGGGAGGGACACGGGGCTTGAGGCAGGTGTGCCACCAGCCATCAGAGGGCACTCCAAGGCTGAAAAAGAGTTAATTCCCAGGACGACCAGCAGGAGGTGCCATGCCAATGAGGCTTCGCTACACTGCCCACCAAAAAAATCCTCTCTGTTTCAAATTTATATATTTTTTTCACTTTGTCCTAAGATATTTTGTGATCCACCCCAAAGGAGGTTGTATGTCAGCTGTTGATGATATGATCCCAAGGTATATAGGGTCTGACCCACCGCCTATTGAAGTCAATGGAAAACCTTCTACCAAATTCAGTGGATGTTGGATCAGGCTTATAGTTTTGTATAGTGCTATGGGATGAAAGGTGTTCTATAAATATAAGATTGTATTATATCATCATTATTCAGCACAATGTACTGCTTATTTTCTCTTATATAATTAGGTGGGAGTTAGTATATTTCCCCCCCCCACAGATCATGAAGTAAGCTTCTCCATACATGTAGGAATGAGCTACTGTAGGTTTTTAAATGTTGTATATTATATTCATTCTCCAAATATTTTATAGTGTGGCTACATTAACTAGACAGTGAGTATAGGCATGTTAAGATTATTAAGTAAATCAAAAGGCAATGTTTTTGTAGTTATAAGTGAAGTAGAAAAGAATTCCTTTGAAGACTGTTTTATATCTGACTTTTACAGAAGTGGTTTCAAAGAATCACAGCAAAATCTTATAAATACAGTTGATCATGTAGTTACATGCATTAAAACTGTATTTACATTTAAAATGTGTTTGTATCATCTTTATAGAAGGTAATAGATACTGTAAGTCTTTTATCTTCTGCACTTTGTTATAAAAATGATAGGATAAAATACCAGCAGTACTAGAGAGATGTGTGAACTGTTACTGTTGATTTACATGAGCTTGCTTTTAATTTATCAATATGACAGTAAAGTTGACACTGAGTAAGCCCAGAAACATTAGAAGCACAATTATGACAGCATAAAAAAAACTTAATAGCATATTCCTATTATTTTTAAAGCACTTTTATTCAATTTCAGTAAACCAATAAAAATAAATTAAAGGGCAATCGGACATACACTAAATATTTGACATACCAACAGATGTGTTTTACAATTTTAAATTAAACCATGCAAATTATAGAAAAGGTTATTAAGCAAGTTTGAGTATATGCTGTGATAACAAAAGACAAAAATTTTCTTTGGTTATATTGTAGCTTTTTCTTTAAGTACACTGGGATTTGATTGTGCTACATTTCATATTTCTCAGCTCTACACTTCATATTACTTTTTCAGCACATTAAAACTTATGCAGTGAAACTGAATAATGGCAAGTGTTTTTATACCCTTTTATAGCCATTTCTTTTTCATAACCTCCCCCTGTTTCCTGTTAGCTAAACTATAAGCACCTTTCTGTTAATTTATGAAAATTATTGTTGAGTGAGCACATTATCACTGATCTGTATGGCACTTTCAGCATGTTAGAAGCAAAGGTCCAAGCAACATAAAACACATCAAAATTCATTAATGTGATATTGATTATTTTTTGGATAATTAATTTTATTGCAGACCCTTGAAAGAGATAATGAGCTGCAAAGGGAGAAGGCAAAAGAAAATGAAGAAAAGTTCCTTAATCTTCAGAATGAGCATGAGAAAGCACTAAGAACTTGGAAAAAAGATGTAAGTTTAATAAATTAATTGTCAGTATATTAAAAGGGTTTTGAAATAGTCAGACATTTCAAATAATTCCTAAAACCCATGAAAATTTTGCAAAAATAATGTATGAAAAAAAAATATTTTCTTTCCTGGACACTGCAAATCTGTGTCAAAAAATATTTTAAAAGGTAGATTTAGTAGAAACTCCATTTGACTTCTGCATTTTAGAAGGCTGGGCATCCATCTTTTTTGGGCCTACACCACACAGGCCAAATGGAGGCTTTTGTTTTGTTTGTTTTTTAATTTAACCTTAGCACTTAGATGCAGTTCCAGACTTATGCTTTTGTCAATCACTGCTTACATCTGAGGTATCCAGATGTTTCCTTAGCATCAGGGCCAGCTCCACGCACCAGCTTTCCAAGCAGGTGCTTGGGGCAGCATTCAGAATGCGGCAGCAATTTGGCAGCAGCTCCACCACTCTTCCCACCATGGCAGCAGCAATTCGGCAGCGACTGCTTGGGGTGGCAAAATTGGTAGAACCACTCCTGCTTAGCATGCACGAATACCAGGGGTTCTCAACCTTTTTCTTTTTGAGGCCTCCCCAACATGCGATAAAAATTCCATGGCCCACCTATGCCACAACAATTATTTTTCTGTATATAAAAGCCAGGGCCAGCATTAGGGGGTAGCAAGCAGGGCAATTGCCCGAGCCCTATGCCACAGGGGACCCCGCGAAGCTAAGTTGCTTAGGCCTCAGCACTGGGTAGCAGGACATGGGGCCCTGGTCCCAACCAGACTCTTGGTTGAGGACCACTGCACTAATGTATTTTGCATTTACATTGGCTGAATTATATTTCTATTACAAAACCTTGTCCTAGTACCTAAACTATTACAAAATATACCATTTACATTTTCTAGATTGTATTCCTGTGCATCAAAAAAATCATTTATAAATTATACATGAAATTATAAAAGTCTAGTGTAACCCCCTATAAATTGAAATTATGAAACTTTATCCAGATCAATCAGTTTAAATACTGACCTACCTTCCATATTTGTTTTTAGTGGTACTACTTTATGTATTTTTAATCAAATATTCAATGGCTTCTAAAAAAACTCAGTAACAGCAACTTTGCAGTAAATTTGCAATAACAAATCAATTATAATATGAGATATTATACATACAAATGAGGAAGAGAAATAATTTGGGGTAAGATAATAAACTTTTCATGTTTTCAAGGTATTTATGAAAACATGGCAAACCATCAACAGTCTTTTTTATAGTTCTATCCTGGCTTTCCCTTGATCAATACATATGGCCCTTCTTGAAGAACTCTTACAGGTAGGTAACCTCCATTCCACTTTAGGGTGGAATAAAAGACAGACTCTAACCAAGTAATTTTCCCTCCCTTGGTATTCACCCCAACTGTTCAGAATAGGCCACTTCCACCTTAATTGAATTGGCTCATTAGCACCCCCACTTGGTAAGGAAACTCCCATCTTTTCATGTGCTAGAATATATATTCTGCTTACTGTATTTTTCACTCTATGCATCTGATGAAGTGGGTTTTAGCCCACAAAAGCTTATGCCCAAATAAATTTGTTAGTCTCTAAGGTGCCACAATGACTCCATTGTTTTTGCTGATACAGACTAACATGGCTACCACTCTGAAACCTAACAAACACAGTTACTACTGTCCATGCATTTGAGTCTTACAAAATGGAATAAATGGTGACCAAAACCCAAGCTAGAGCAAGAAGAGGGTAAGAGATGACGGAAATGTGTCTAAAATCTGTGTGTTGAGTGTATGTCTGCTCAGCAATTAAATACCTGGGCTGACCTGGGTCAGCTGACTCAGGCATGTGGGGCACTCAGGCAGTAAAATGGCTGTGTGGATGTCTGGGCTTGGGCTGGACCCTGAGCTGTGGGACCTTGTGATCGGCAGGGGGTGGGGGCGGGGAGGGAGGCTCCCAGTGCTCAGGCTCCAGCCCGATCCCAAATGTCTAAAAGCAATTTCTAGCTCCATGAGTCTGCATCAGCTGCCCTAGGCCAGCCATGACCATGCTGTGAGTCTTTTATTCCAGTGTAGACATACCCTGAGTGAAGGGGATAAGAAAATTGGCTGGTTTGGGTTATAGCATTCAGAGACACTGTCTTGTCATTTACTTCTATTGTGAGGTTTCAGATGTTTTACTTTTTTATTATAGTTTATCTTAATTTGAGAAACTGTTGATAGATTGTAAAAATTATCTTTTGGGTTTCCATATGCAAAAATATTGGTATGTTCACTTGTTCTGTGACCCTTCAATGATTACAGGAGGAAGACTTGAGAAGAGAAATGGATACTATTAAAAATGTGCTGGTATCACTTAAAGAAGCTTATGGTCATCTCCAAGACTGCCACCTTCCTCAGAAAGATCAACATACTGAGCAAGAGGAAAATCTGCTGATAAAAATAAGGAGCATTTAATGGTTGCAAAACCTTTTATTTCTTGTAAATATATCAGTGAAGAAAAGATGCTTTGGCAACGTTTGCAGTCCTGCTGTGCATTCCACTTAATCTAAACAATTTAAACTTGTTTTGCTCTATTCAATCATTTCTCCAGCATAATGATCCAAGAACAGTCTGAAATTTACTGAGCATATAGTAGGTTTTTCCTGTTGGTCAAGCTACTTCTGTCCCTCCTGTTGGACCCAGACAATGTCCTGGGACCAAGGGTGCCTGCTTCATCCCAACCTCCAAACTCTCCATCCAACAGTATGGATGCTTCATGGTTGATGCCCACAGAAAAGTCCTGCTCCAAAGACATTCAAAACATGCTTCTGAATAGCAGAAAACCCTCAACTAGAAATACCTAGTTAAGTGGAAGCACTTCTCTATTTGATCTCGGAGGAAATGTGTATCTCCAGAACGAGCACCCTGGACCTCATACTAGACTCTTCTAAATCTAAAACAGCATTTGGCTATTAGCTCTCTAAGGGTGCATCTGGCAGCTATTTCAGCCTTCCACATATGGGTGGATAATAGATCCTTTTTTTCCCCCAACTCCGTCATCGCCCAATTCCTAAAGGGTTTGGCCAGATAGTAGCCTCAAGTATAAGACCCAATCCCTCCTTGGGATTGGAACTGAGTCCTAGCAAAATTGATGGGACATCCTTTCAGACTCCTTCCAACTTGCTCCCTTCTTCACCTCTCTATGAAGGTGGCATTTTTATAATGGCAGCTACCTCAGCCAGAAGGGCAGGTGAGTTGAGAACTCTGGTGTCAGAACCTCTCTATACAGTTTTCCAGAAAGATAAAGTTTATAGTCACTCTTCACTGAAATTTCTTACAAAAGTAGTCTCCAATTTTTATGTTAACCAAGCAATCTATTCATTTTTTTCTGAAACCCCATACACATAGGGATGAGGGAAAGCTTCAGTTGTCAGAAGGGCTTTAGTGTTCTACCTGAAGCATACTAAATCTTTCAGATCCTCTACGCAACTGTCTGTAGTGGTTAGAGAGCTAAGGGCCAATCAGAGAATCTCTTCCTGGATCTCTTTGGTCATTCACTTATTCACTAGCTAGCTAATACCATCCTACCAGGTAGAGCGTTGGAACATTCTACTAGAGCGCAGGCATCTTCTGCAGCTTTCCTGACACAAGTGCCGATTCTAGACATTTGTAAAGCAGTGACTTGGTCATCACACTTTTGCTTCCCATTACACAGCCTTTCCGATCAGTCCAGAAATGGTACTAGTTTCAGATGGGTTTCATCCCTTCCCATTTTTAGGGGGTGGACCTTCCCCCTTCAAGATAACTCTTTCTGCAGAGTATGCCAACCTCTCCAGGCTTCATACGGTGCTTTAATTCCCGATGGCCAAAGCAAGCTAGGGGGCAGTCCAGACCAGTAGTTAAGTAAGTGTGTGTGTTTGGGTAACTAGCAGGTTAGTCCATATGGGATCCATATCAGTCCAAGATTCCCCTACTCATCAGATAGGGGAATTCCCTCCTGACACTTTAGAGAAAAGGGGAAGTTCCATCAAAGACAAGCCTGGGCCCCCCCCCCCCAGCCTGGTTTGAGCACCAGTGCCTTTCACATTGCCTCTAGTAACCATATTTGGAACCATACCGGGATCCTTGGGCTGCATATTGATAAATTTCCCATGCCCCTACTCTCTCGTGTCTCCCTCTGTAGTCCCCACTTTCTCCTACTCCACCTATCCCTCCTCCACTACCTCAGGCACCAGAGTCCAGCGAGCCAGGGCAGATAAAGATGCTACTCTGCAAATAAATATTTCTTCATCTTCTACAGCTGATTAACTACTGGAAGTGTTTGAAGTAATGAAATGCATTGCAAATTCCCTAAAGATTCCCTTGGAAGAGGTCAGAGTTGCAGCATAAGCTCCTGGATATCCTTCACTGGATTCCCTCTACCCGAGTTGCCCTGCCTATCAGTGAGGCCCTGTTGAGTCCCACCAAATCCATCTGGCATACCCCTGTGATATTACATCCCAGTTAAGGACTACAGATTTTTGTTCACCCATCCAACACCAAACTTCCTGGTTGTGGAGACAATGAATATGACAGACAATACCACATGAAAGCCATGCCCTATCAAAAATGTCCATCTATTTGGCAGAAAGGCCTACTTGACTCTTCAATTTAGGATCACAAATTATCAAGCTGTCAAGACAAAGCACAATCGCTCAAATTATGCCAAATGTATCACCTTTATTGAGTTGGCTAAACAGTGAGAGCTGTTTCAGGCTATTATCTATGAGAGCCAACTATTAGCTAGAACATCTTTGCAGGCCTCATTTGACATGGCCTACACTGCTGCTCAGTCCAGCGCCAGCTGGCTGAATTCCCAGGGGACATCTGAGCACCTTCTCTTCGATGGTCTCAAACCGTTCGCTGAAGCCACTGATGAATGGTTGCACACCTTTAAGGATACATTGAGATTCCTTGGGATTTGCATGCCTACAAGCAAATGAAAATTCAGCAGATCCCAAATGGCATAAAGATCTTGCCCCATTCCATTCTCAGGATTCCAGAGACTTTATGAATTGCCCAGGAAGAAATAAAGAATTCAGAGGAAGAAAGCATCTACATCTTCTGTATCCACTACTGAGCTCCTACCATCCTTTAAGCATTGGGTTTGATGAGCTGGTCGAGGGCCCAAAAGAACCCCACAAAATGGAGTTGCATCTACACCATTCCACCCACCTCCCACACTATGGCAACCATCTCTCTCACTTTGAATCCGCATGGGAGAGAATTACTTCAGACAAATGGGTGCTGTAGGTTATCAGATTGGGGTACTACATCCATTTTACTTCACTGCCTGCTACCCATCCCCCTTTCTTCAGGGACCTCTCTCATGAGTACCGACCGCTTAAGGCAGGAAATTGACAACCTTCTGTGCATAGAATCAGTTCCAGTTCAGCACAGAGGGAGGGGCTTTTACTCCAGTTGCTTTCTGGCCCCAAAGATGAACATGGGATGGAGGCTGATCTTAGATTTAAGACTCCTAAACAATTTTGTGAAATCACAAACATTCAGAATGTTGACTCTTGCAGCTATATTCCATCGTTGGAACTAGGGGGTTGGATTTTGGCTCTTGACCTTCAGGATGCCTACTTTCAAACTGCAATTCACCTGTCTCACAAATGATTCCTGTGGTTTTTCATAAGTCAGGATCACTTCCCTTTGGCCTTTTGTCTGACCCAAGAGTGTTCTCAAAAATATTGGTAGTGGTTGCAGCTTACCTTTTAATGTTTGGCAATTATTTCCTTGTACCTTGATGACTGGCTACTCAAGGATCGATGAGGTTTTCACCACCACAAAGATGTCAAGGTTCCTGTTCCACAAGCTAGGTTTGCAGCTCAATATCGAGAAATCAACTTTAAGCCTGGTACAAACAATAGAGTTCATAGGAGCCTCCTTAGATGTGATATCAGCCAGGGCTTATCTTCCCTCCAACAAATTCTGGATAACAAATCTCACCTCAAAGATTCAAATCAGTCCACAGACATCTATAAGAAATTGTCTTCAACTGCTCGGACACATGGCAACTTGCACCTTTGTGATGCAACATGACAGTTTCTGCCTTCGATGTTTCCAGAGCTAGCTCAGGGACTGTTTATACTCCAAAAAACAAAACAAAAACAACAAACAAACAAACCACACCCTGACCAAGTTGGTGTCATGTCAGTCTCTCCTCAAGTACAAGATTCTCTCAACCGGTGGAAAGACCATGACAATGTCTGTGAGGGGATTCCATTTGTTCTACCTCCTCCCTTCTGTCACCAAGACACATACATCTCTGATGAGTGGGGAGTGCATTTGGGGACCCACACAACTCAGAGCAAGTGGTCTGCCCAAGAGACATGACTACACACCAACCTACTTGGGTTGTGGGCAGTCAGGAATGTCTGTATCCTTTTGCCTTTAATCAGAAATAGGTCCATAAAGGTCCTGATGGACAACAGAACATGCATGTTCTGTATCAGCTGACAAGGAAGAGTCAGCTCTTCTTCCATGTGCGCCAAAGCAAAAAAGCTCTGGAACTGGTGCACAGCCAATTTCAACCTTATCTCAGCAGCTTACCTCCCAAGGATACAAAACAGAATAGCCAACAATCTCAGCAGGCACTTCTCCCAGGACTACGTTTCGGATTTGGATTCTTAGATTCTCAGTGAAATCTTTCTGAGTTAAGGAGTACCAGAAATAGACCTCTGATACTGTTACCAACAACTTGAAATGCGAACACTTTTGCTTAAGGAGGGTCTTAGGCCCTCTCTCTTTACGAGACATTCCTTGTTCCACGGACAAGAGGCTTGCTATATGTACTTCCTCCAACCCCCATTTCTGAAAATGATAAATAAAATCAAGCAGGACAAACCCAGGATCCTATTAATAGTTCCAGTGTGGCCCAGACATATATGGTATCCTTACATGATTCACTTAGCCATTTGTCAGGCAATTAGCCTTCCATCCATTCCTTATCTTCTTTCCCAAGATCCAATTGGATTCTTCACCCCAACCTGAAGATTCTGTGTCTTAAAACTTGACCCCTTGATGGCTCATGGGAATAGTGTACTTGTTCTGACAAGGTACAACAGGTGTTACTGAACAGTAGAAAAGATTCCATGAGATATACTTACCTCCGCAGGTGGAAAAGGTTCAGCCTTTGGCATATCCAGACATGTATTTCATCTGCTCACTCTTCACTCTCAGTTGTTCTAGATTACCTCCTAGAGCTGAAAAAGACAGCATTATCTATGGAGCTCTATCAGGGTCCACCTGGCAGCTAAAACAGCTTTTCATTCCCGGTTGAGTCTCAGTTTTTGCTCATCCCACAACTATGAGGTTTCTCAGAGGACTGGAGGAACCTTTTCCCCCAAGTTAAGGGGCGTATTCTGATTTGAGATTTGAATTTAGTACTTAGATGTTTTATGTGTCCCTCTTTTTGAGCCAATGGCTACTTCTTTTCTCATTAATTGATCTTAGAAGATGGCCTTTCTGGCGGGTAGCACCTCTGCTTGAAGGGTTGGGAAAAGAGAGGCTCTGATTGTGGAGCATCCATTTACAATATTTTTCACGAACAAAGTTTCATTATGTCCACACCCTAAATTTTCATCCAAGGTGTTGTCCAAGTTTTACATCAACCAAGTTATCCATTTATTTTCCTAGAGCCACACCAGTCTACAGAAGAGATGTTAGGAGAGCTTTAAATTTTTATTTGGACAGAACTAAATGATGTAGAAAATTATCCAGACTGTGTCCATTGCAGATAGGTCTAAACGTTCATAGATTTCCACCCAGAGACTCTACAGGTAGATTTCTGATTGCATTATATTGTGCTATAAATCTGCAGACATACAGATTCTTCCTGGGGTGTTGACTCATTCCATGATATCTCTGTCTATATCTATGGCTTTACTCAAGAGTGTTCATATTCTGGACATTTCTAAGGCACCACTTGGACCTCCACACCACAGGTAGCATGTGAACCACTGGGTGAGGGAGGCTAGCTCCCAGCCCTGCACCTTCCACCCAAGGCCCCTTCCTTTCCATGCCCCACACCAGAGCCCCCACCACCAGAGCCGCCAGGCCCCTGCCCCAGGCTACCTCCCTGGAGCACAGGGAGGACGGGTGGTGCAGCCCCAGAGTGGCAGGAAGCCGGGTGGCACAGTCCAAGCTGGGACTACCCCACAGGGAAACTGGACTCCAGCTGCACGGAGCCGGAAGCAGGAGGGGTGGGGGTCTAGGGACAGCGTGTGGGCGGAGCTACGCCTGGCTGTTTGGGGACGCACAGCCTCTCCAGCCTATGATACCCATCGTCCATGCTCCACACACATCTTTTCCAAACATTAGGCAGTGATCAAGTCTTCTAGATCAGAGGCAGCTGTTGGAAACACAGTCTTGGACTGGGCTCTGCAGCCTCCCCTCCAGCTGAGGGTTCTGCTCAGTAGGTCACCTGAAGTGGAGCTCCCATAGATATACTTGAAGAGGAGGCGGTTACTCACCTTGTGCAGTAACTGGAGTTCTTTGAGATGTGTCCCTCTTAGGGTGCCCCACTGCCTGCCCTCCTTTTCCTTTGCTTTGGAGTTGTCTCTGGCGACTATGAAGTAGAAAAGGAATTAAGGGCTGTTCACCTATGCAGCCTTATATAGCCTTGGACTGGGGCACAGGTGCAGGCTGAACGGCATTACTACCAAAAATCTCTGATTAAAGGCACATGTGGTCTGAGCACACCTGAAGTGGAACACCCACCCGGACACACATCTCCAAGAACTCCAGTTACTGCACAGTGGAAGTAACCTTCCCTTTCATTAAAAAGAAAGTATTTCTCACTCTCATGGTTGATGAGCAAAGTTTAAAAATGTGACAGAAGTGCACCCTAATGTCTCCAAAACCAAGAGGCAAATAAAAAGAATACAATGCTGTTCTCCCCCTCTCCCCCAACTTGTGATTTTAAAGCCTTTTTCATGACTTTTGGAGCCTGACTCATGATTTCTGAATGTTTGAGTTTGGCTATACTGGGAATGGGAGGAAAAGATGCAACAAACTGGAGTAATAAAGGGAGAGACAGGCAATGTGCGAAGAAGGAGAGGAGACGTCAAACAAATCCATAGTAATGGAGGAAAAACAAGATATCAGACCCCGAGATGGAAAAAGTCAATGGAGTTGTGGCTCTAGCCTATAGAAAAAAGTAAATAGAAATGTCTATCACTTTTTCAGGGACAAAAGGAGACTTACAAAGAAAGCAAATGGTTTGTGAAGAAAAAGTGTTTGTGTAATTAGCAATTGCCTGCTCTCTTCAGTCGTCTTTTTCTGCCTTTGTTTATTATTGGACAGGTCATTTGGGATCGTCTGATGAAGCTCTGTCCTCTTTAGTGACCAAGTCCGCAAATTTTATTCACACTTCTTCCTTTGAAAATTCTTCTAATATTTACATCATGCAGAGTTATCTATCTGAAAAGCCCAGTAGTCAAATAACTTGCCTGCTGAATATAGCTTGTGGGCCCAATACACTGCTATATGTAAGAAAAGAAATTTAATTTAATTTCAAAAGAATGACTCCTGATTTACAGCGGAGTAGTAAAAAAGTGAATCAGGTCCTTCCTGTTAAATCTAATCTGAAACTTTAATAAGTAACCTGAATATATTTTATCTCTAATTAATAAATTAACTATATCTTCCATTTTATGACAGACTAGTCTGAAAGAAAATGAGTGTACACAATCTACAATCCAAAATGATAGTATTTCTGGTCCTGGACAAGACGATGACATTGAAGTAAAAAATATTGTAGGCTGCTCTTCAGACATTGATAAAGTACAGACCGAACAAAGTAATGGAACTGGATGCACTGAAGCGACATATCACATTGTTGCCAAAGGTATAAATACTCAAATACACGATATGATGAGAGAGATTCAGCGCCCAAAATCAAATATTCTCATATAAATTAATGAAATTCTTGGTGTCAGTAGGTGCCACTTTGTGTAAAGTACACAAAGCTCTGAGTATAGGCACAATCCTTCCTAGAGCTGCTTTCCTCACTCAAGTATGATTTGCATGCTCCATCATCCCTTGTGGTGCAGTGTTTTTTCTGTGCCGATGTGAGGATAGGTTTGGAGAAACTTGCTTATCCCCAGCTCTAGTATAGGAGCATAAGGAGGGAGACACTCTTCCCTTCTATCTGTACACGCTTGCAGGAGATAGGGTTGCAATAGCTCAATATGTAATGGTATAATTACTATTCCATGCAGGCCACATCCACACACACTTATGCTTCATAGAGTTCTCTAAAACTTTTTTTTTTTTTTTTTTTAGTTTTTTAAACCTGCCCATGAAATGGTACTTACCTAAGCCCAACCTCCAAAATGACAACAATGGAAAGTCAAAACTTTAAGAGCTTCATAACTATATGGTGGTTTATTGAATCTTCTTTTTTCTTGCTATCTAATAGAAATGTTCATAGCATTGGAGTATACTTACAGTGAACAGCTTCTGTAAGTATCAGATGCCTTAGCTTTTCTTCATTGTTTAGCCACCCGAAAATGATGGCATGTTCCTATGGTATGAACACTGTCCCTTAAATAGGGTTGATGAGTTATAGATCAGCAGGATTAAGAGAAAAATTACGCTAGTAAACTAGTGACTTTATTTAAGCTAAATGTAGAATGAAAAAAATCTGAAGAAATTGTTTAAGTTAAATATCTAAATATGTGGCTATAAGCAATTTAATTGCAGAGACTATTATCAGCTAGTCTGGCAAATACCAAATAGGATAGTATTACAACCAAGTCATAGAATACTTAAGTTTCATTTTTTTTAAAACAGGCAAAAATGTAAGTATATTGTTCTGTTTGAATATTATATTTTGTAAAGTACATGAATACAATATTTGTCTCTGAAATTTAGAACTTTCTGATATTTAGAAAAAATTGTAACTATTTCACGTATGAGGAAAATGAACATTAATGAAAATATCAATACATCTTTGTGAATTGCATGATGCAAAAACCAAAACATTTAACATTCAGATGTTTTTGTCACTAATATTTTCATCCTAATAGATTTACGACTTCTTGAAAACTATAAGGATGATTTTAACGTTGCTAGCCACTGTGAAGAAAAGCAAAGGGAGGCTTCTCCAGGCAAAACCCTCTGCACAGATATTGATTTAATTATTCAAGGACAGACCGCGGCAGAATGTATTGCTGAGTGCAAAAAGACAGCAAATATAGGAAAAACAGACAAAATGTTCTTGGAGAAAAACAATGCAAGTTCAGAACTAAAGCCACAGGACAGATCTTGTTCATTGGCAAAACTCCCAGAGAACACAAGAAAGATGCTCTTTGACAATACTGAGGAATTTGGTGTCTGCAGTATGGATGCAGGTCAACAGACAGACTCCAGCAAGCATACATTTGGCAATGCTTCAAATGAATTAGTTTATAATACAAATGATAAGGCAGATGCCACACAGGATGACAAAGGTGTCTTTATAAATGAAGCACCAAGCAAAGAATCCAGACAGGTTATTGGCATAGAAGACAGTCCTGTAACTGAAAGAACTGCAGCCAACCACCAAACCATGGCTGAATTTAATTTTGCCATCCCGTCTCAGGTTACAGAAAGTAGTCATACAAAGTTTCAGAAATGCCACTTACAGGAGTCTAATGACATTTACTTAGATAATAAACAAGACAAAACACAACCACTTCATCTGTTAAATAGAAGCACCAGTGGCATATCCTCAGATATATTTCAATTTAAACAGATTCTTACAGATATTCAAGAAAAACACAACAGTGACACTGCAAGCACAACTAATGGAAACTGTGCACTGAACAGTACTTGTGATGCTCCAGTTCTGCCTACTACTTTCTGTGATAATGCAAGTGTGAACAAGGACAATACAAAAGAAAATAACACTAATATGTCTCTGTTAGAGAATTTCAAATTAAGTACTGAAAAAGCAGATAAATGGACAAATCTGAATGATCTGCACAGCAACCAAAATAACCTGGACATTTCTAGACAGACAGAAACTGATACAAATACATATGCATGCACAGATGTTGTTTTGCCTCTGAACACGGAAAATATATGTACTTCTCAGACTATTATTCATAAAAAAATGGTTATAAACAAAATTACCACCGATAAACAAATAACCTGTGAAAAAGTTCATACAAATGATTTTCAGATACCCAAAATGAAGGATGGACAATCCCTTGTGATTAATGATAATGCACTAGAGAATACATTGTTAAGAGCGAAAAGAGAGTCATTAAATAATACAGTTCCAGGAGAGAAAATTGCTGAAGGTCGCCTGGAAGAATCATGTTCTTTACTCATAAGGACATCTGGAGATTTAGTAAACCGAAGTGGAAGGTCATCCTTTGATCTTTCAACTTCAGATAAAAAAACTGAGAAAACGCCAGTATACTTAAGTTTTTCAGATCTCAGTCCTTGGCTGAGAGTAAATCAAGTTGAAAGTCAAACAGCGTGGGCTTCAACTTCCGAAGAGCCTTTCCATTTGAAAGAGAAACTACTACATATATCAGAAAACAAAAAGATTCTTTCAAAAGCACAGTGTCAAAATCTGAGCATAAATGCTGTCATGAAAGAAACAGGACTAGGTAAGAGAAATAATTATTTACATTTTAAAGTATAAGAGGAACATAATAGTGATTAGAAAAGGAGGACTTGTGGCACCTTAGAGACTAACAAATTTATTTGAGCATAAGCTTTTGTGAGCTACAGCTCACTTCAAATGCATCTAATGAAGTGAGCTGTAGCTCACGAAAGCTTATGCTCAAATAAATTTGTTAGTCTCTAAGGTGCCACAAGTCCTCCTTTTCTTTTTGCAGATACAGACTAACACGGCTGCTACTCTGAAACCTGTCATAATAGTGAATATGTATGTAGGAAAAAATTAAATATGGAAGTTCTCTGTTCAATGTAAAGTAGTATCAGAGAGGAAAAATGTAAACCTTTTGATAATTTTAGCTATTATCTTTGAAACTTAGATTTGCCCTACGAAGATGTTGAGATTTCTCAACTAACCCACATTATAGATGCAACTAAGTGACCTATTCTGTGTTTATTCTATTATCTGACTAAATAAACCTTATCCCTTCCCTCCCTTTGTAAAACAAAATCAGTGCCAGGATAACTAAATGTAATTCTCATAGGAATTTCTATAGCAATCATTATCATTACTGCTCAGAGACCTAGACCTCAATCCTGCATCATGATCCCCTAATGTGGATAGCTGCATCCATGCTAATGGACTCTGATGCAAGAGGGGCCCAATTATAAAGGCTAAACACAGTACTAGTTTGGGGATAAGAGTGTGATCATGGGAGGTGCTGAGTACCTCTTGGAAATTTTTCACTGCCCTCAGCTCTCACAAAAATTAATGTTAGTTGTAGGGTGCTCTGTGCCTCTTCGAATTGGGCCCATAAATAGCTTGTTTGATTATATTAGTGTATGTTATTAATCCAGATAAAACTCACGCACACAAAATAAACAGAACATGGCAAAAAATGAGAAAGGAGAAGATTCTATCCTTTGATGCTTTTGGCAGAGAAAAACAGATGTGCCCATTAGAAGGTTTTCACAGCTTTTTTCTTTAACTTCTATTGTGACAATTTGGTGATTATTTGCTGAACAATATTATGCATACACAAAAGCTGGGTGAATAACAATATGAACTTTGTTATAAACATTTGTAAACTTACTCTAGTAAAATGTGAAGAAATAAAGCATATATTGTAGATATAATTTATTTTGCAATAAATCTACCAATTAGATTTGATTACTTTAATGAGAAGTGCTGCTTTTAAACTCCAAATAACCTTTTATCAAGATAGCAGTTAGAGGTAATTTTTGTTTCTCTATGTTAAAAAAAAATATTATTTTTACAGCATCCAAAATTGTGCTAGGTGTTTTAGAAAAAAAATAAGACCTATAGGGTAAAATTTTCAAATGCACTTAAATGATTTAGGTGCTTAAGTCCCAGTGACTTCCTCGCAAACTTACCTCAGCACTGTTGAAAACGTTATCCTTAGTCACTGCCCCGAAGTATTTATGTTTTTAAAAAAGCAAACAAGACACAACAAGAAAAAACAAACAAACAATGAAGGAAATAGGGGAAAAGAAAAACTAAGTTTGTAAAAATAAGGTCACGTGGGTACATATGTTTGTTATGCACATGTCTTGGCGATTTCTGATATATCTCTGTATGTCTGGATTTGTGCAAGTAATATTTTTGTATTGATAAGCTATACCTCTAATTATTGAGTAACAGATTAGTGGTTCCAGTAAGTACATCATTAGGCCTGAATGGCCCTTCGACAGAAGAATCCATGAGCTATAGTAGGAGGAGAACTAGATGGTCATTCCCTGGCAGGTTTCCATCTTTCTCTGACACACAACACACCCACCACCTCTTTATGGAATGAGCCACAATTCCACCTTCAAATCCCATTGCCCTCTGCTTAGGGGCTATTATGTATCTGCATTGGGGCTCTAGAGACCCAGGAAAACTCCCTTCCTCTGCACCCTGGCAGCAGAGCGCCAATAAAGCTATGCTAGAAGGGCTCCTTCAAGCCAAAACTATCCCAAAGTCCCTGTTAAAGGGAATTTCCCCCTACACAGATGGGACTGTAGAAGAGTTAATATAGCCTCATGCTGTATCAACTTCGTCAGATATAATCTACAGAAGTGTGGGTGGGTGGGGAATGATAAAACCCAGTCTCTCCATCCCTCAGCCTGTCTGCTCCTTGTGCATAGATTCCAGCTCTGCTAACAGCCCTCAGTAAGGTCCCAAGAAAGGAGTACAATGTTTTTGTTTGAACAAATCTCCCTGAAATTATCTGAGCCTGAGTTAATACAAATTTTCAACCAAATAACCCAATTACAGAAATTACTGTATTAATAAACAGAATAGGAAGCTTTAATTTTAAATAAAAGATAGCTCATAAATTAAAATTGATCATCGTAATGTAGGCCACAGCCATGAATCCACAGGGGTGGACCATTGCAGAGTCCCATTGACTTTACTGAGACTCTGGGCAATGAAGGTTCTTTAAGTGAGTAGCTCTTCATGGGCATAAGGTTTGACCTCTGTCTCATTGCAAAGCCACAGCCTGATCCCTTAAAAACTAAATTCTAAGTAATATTTATATTATGGTAGCCTCCAGAGGCCCTGAGCAAGATCAAGATTTCATTGATTGTCTTTATATTGGTACAGAACTTATTGGTACACAAATGTGCCTTAGAACAGTGGTTCTCAACCAGGGGTACACAAACCCTTCAGGGCATAGGCGCCAACTCTGTGGGTGCACCAGGGCTGGGACAGAAGGGGGAAGAAGTGGAGTGGGGGAGTGGCTTAAGCACCGTTCGGGAACTCAGAAAGTCGGCGTCTCTGCTGGGGGTATGCAGAGGTCTTCCAGGGAATACATCAACTCATCTAGATATTTGCCTAGTTTTATAACAGGCTACCTAAAAACCATGAGCAAAGTCAGTCCAAACTAAAATTTCATACACATAGTGACTTGTTTATACTGCTTTATATACTATACACTGCAATGTCAGTACAATATTTATATTGCAATTGATTTTATAATTATATGGTAAAAATGAGAAAGTAAGCAATTTTTCAGTACTAGTGTGCTGTGACACTTGTATTTTTATGTCTGATTTTGTAAGCAAGTAGTTTAAGTGAGGTGAAACTTGGGGGTATGCAAGACAAATCAGACTTCTGAAAGGGGTACAGTAGTCTGAAAAGGTTGAGAGCCACTGCCTTAGAATATATCTACACTGCAATTAAAAACCCATGGCTTGCCTGTGACAGCTGACTCAGGCTCACAGGGCTCAGACTAAGGGGCTGTTTAATTGCAGTGAAGACATTCAGGCTTGGACTGGAGCCTAGCCTTTCGGATGCTGCGAGCTGGGACGATCCTAGAGCCGAGGTTGCAGCCCGAGTCCGAATGTCTACACCACAATTAAACAGACCCTTACCTGAGTCTTGCAAGCCTGAGTGAGCTGTCACAGGCCAGCTGCAGACGTCTAAGGCTATGTCTACACTAGAGACCTTACAGTAGCATTGATGCAGTTGTGCTGCTGTAAGATCTCCCATGTAGCCACTCTATGCCAATGGGAGAGAACTCCCCCACCAGCATAATTAATCCACCCCCACATAGCGCTGTCCATACTGGTACTTCTGTCGGTGTAATTTTTGTCAGTCAGGGATGTGTTTTTTCTAAATGCAGACAGTTCACATGGAAATCTAAATGTATTGTGATGGAAGGTGTTAATAGCTGCCATCAAAGGGGTCTTTAATCTATAGTCAGTCACAGAAATCAACACCTCTGCCCTGGCTTTCTGTATTAGCCAACATTAAACCTCCTGCTTTCCATCAAGATATAGCCATAGCATGAGAATTTAAATTCACCGAAGGCTACCCTGAACTTCTCATCCAGCAGATAATGGCTAACATATCCCAACAATGCCTGAAATCACGAAAACCACTATAGACAACATAGGACCACTTCATGTTTCTAGATCTGGTCAGGGAACGGCAAATGTCTGGACCTCATCTACCATTCCAAACAAGCAGGTTATTACTGATCCGACAAGCCACCCTCCCAGTTTTGACCAGCCATGCAGACTTTGGACCACACTGAACTGCATCCAACAAACCATGGGAGATGCAGCTACTTGATGTACAAGTGTAAAATGAAAGACTTTCCTTTGTGCTACTGTGGTGAGAACATCTAAACCATGAAACACATCATAACGCAGTGCCCCAGATATAGATTGAGAGGTGAATTGGATGATATCCACAGTGTCACAGAGGAGACCTAGAAATAGCTTATGGACCTACAACTGCATCTATAGGATGTTGCTCTGCAAATACCTACCATATGTGAGAGAGCATCACAGATCTCATTAAAGTTGATGTGTGTGCTAAGTACCTTTCAACAGTAGGAAGCCACTGCCCAAGGCAATGGGTGCATGGCAAGGCCAATCAACAGCCAAGGCACATAGGCTGAGTGAGGGGTTTTCTTGGGACTGTTTGAAGGAAGGAAAAAAAAAAAAAATCAGAAGATAGAGGATTGACTGGTTGCAGCTTGTCCCTGTGTGTGGGGGTAGAAAGCCACAGAAAGTCAGCCCAATGTGAGAGAAGTGCTGGTGAGCATGGCCCTGGGAGGAACACAAAGACAGAGGTTATTTTGGGCACAATACTCACTGAAAAGGCAGACTTCAATTTCTGAGCAAGGAAACTGCCTACTATGTTTAGGGAAACAGGGTTTTATGTATGTTCTTTTTAGAGTAACAGCCGTGTTAGTCTGTATTTGCAAAAAGAAAAGGAGTACTTGTGGCACCTTAGAGACTAACAAATTTATTTGAGCATTATAAATTAATTAATAAATTAATAAATTATAAATTAATTTAATGCTAAGGTGCCACAAGCACTCCTTTTCTTTTTGTATGTTCTCTGTGACTAGTATTGCAATAAAAAAGCACCTGACTCATCATCAATTTTTCCTCCTTAAGGAAGAACGCCCTGGATATTGGCCAACTGCTAAAGTCAAAAAAGGGTAATAATATCAATGAAAATTTTATGGCC